GTGCTTAGCACATAGCAGGTACTTAATGAATAAATATTTATTGTACTGTATTGCGATAATAGCAGGAAGAACTTTCTAACATTTAGAACAGTCTAAAAAGGGGATAGATTGCCTGTTGTGTGTTCCTATCAATGGAAGAGTTGAAGTGGAAGCTACTTTCCAGAAATGCTATAGAAAATATTTATACATGGGGGGGGGAGCGCAGCTAGATGGTGCAGTGGATAGAGCACTGGCCCTGGATTCAGGAGGCCTGGGTTCAAATCCAGCCTCAGACACATAATGCTTACTAGCTGTGTGACCCTGGGCAAGTCACTTAACCCCATTGCCTAACCACCTCCCCCCAAAAAAGAAAATATTTATACATAGGGCGGAGTTGGCCTAGACGGTTTCTCTGCCAATTCTATGATAGTACAGTGTCTTTGGGGTGATAGCAGCTTAAGAACCACTTTTTAAGATCATTCTGCTGTTTTGGATACAACCATTATGGAAAATCTGCTTTGCTTGATTTGGTATATTTGTTGCAAGGGTTTGACTTTTCTTTCTTCCCTCCTTTTTTTTTTCCTTACTTTCTTTCACTTTCCTTCCTTTCTCCTTCCTTATTTCTTTTTCTATTTGGGAAGGGAAACTGAGGCTAGAGATAGGGTTGTCAGAAAAAAAAAAGAGATCCATATTGAAACATTTTAAGAAATACACAGAAGAAAAGGAAAGCCAAAAGGAAACTCAGACAAGCAGGATATCTTTGAAAGTTTATGTTAAATTTATTACATGCTTAAAAGGGAACTGTATGTAATAAAGATTTGTGGTTTCATGTTCAATCCTCTTTTTCTACTCTACTTTGCATATGGAAATACTCATTTTTTGGGTGTTTACATTTAGAATAAAAATAAATAAAATTTAAAAGAGAATGCAAAAAAAATCATTTTGTTGAGAGAACCTGACCTTCTGATTGTCTTTTACTTCCCTTCATATGCCCATCACAACAAAAGGAATGTCCTTCTTGCTGCATTAGCCATTTGCATCTTTAGGCAACTTTGTTAGGATGTGAATAGCAAAGAACAAATTTGGTAATGTTCTTAGAAGAATCCAATTAATGTGAGTCTTCTGGGACCATGTTCTTTATTACTTTACTATAAACTCTAATTCTATTCTAGTGAATTTCTGTAGGGAATATTGCTGGGGCTGTGTACAAGGAAAGCTGCTATCTTCCAGGTCTCAGTGTGGGACCTAATGCATATTAGAAGGGCATCTCAGAAACTGGAAAAACACCTCCTTTCTTTGGTTCAACCAATAAGCATTTGTTGAGTACTTACTATGTGTGGGGTGTTGGGAAGAGCCCAAAGGTAGAGAATCCACTGTCTCTGTCACCAAAGATTTTAAAATTAGATGGGCGAGATAAGGCACAAACTCAGGGAAAACAAACCTGCTACATAGATAGTACTGGATGAGTACATAATTGAGGATGAAAAAAAAACCCAACCATTTTAGGAGTTCTCTAGTGGGAGAGGTTACTGGGATGTTCGGAGAAGGCTTCCCAGAAGAGGTAATTAATAAGTCCCAGTACAAAGGCTACAAATGAGAAAGGAGATGGATCCTGCTGTATTTCAGGGATCTAATATTTCACTGGCACTAGCACTCTCTCTATTGATTGAGAATTCTCTATGACTTAGTAAATGGCCTTTATGTATTGCTGTGACTGGAGAGAAAAAAAAAAACAAACCAAACCAATCATCTTTTGCACAAGGTTTTGGTAACCAAACTCCAAACCTGGATAGGCTGGTTCAAGAATTACGGGGCATTGTCTGGCCTGTCTGGTTTGTTAAAACTTGGCAAAGTTTGCCCTCGAGTGGTACAGCTTTTCAAAACATGGGTCACCTCCGTTTCACAATGAAGTACTAGAATGGGACGACAGTGAAGGGATTGGTTAATGAGTGTGTCATCCCTTCCAGGTTTCTGCCACAATTTCTACTTGCACTCTAGTATGCTGGATCCCCAGATGCCTGATGCCTCAGGTTCCAGGGTTGACCTATAGCTTTTAAGCCCCCAGTAGGGTACTTCCTCCAATAATCAGGTAGTAGACATATAGCGAAAAAACATTTCCCCTCATAAATCTATGACTTCCCACTTAATAAACACAGCATTTGTGAGAAAAGTGGGCACAAACTCAGAATAAGAAATGTATGTGGCCAATTCAAATCAAAATTCTGGTACTAAAGGTTGGGGCCCACAAATTTCACTAGACTGCTGAAGGAGTCAGCTAGGTGGTACAATAGATAAGAGTATGGGCCTAGAGTCAGGAAGACTCATCTTCCTGAAAACAAATCTGGACTCAGAGGCTGTGTGACCTTGGGCAAGTCACTTTACCCTATTTGCCTCAGTTTTCTCATCTGTAAAATGAGCTGCAGAAGGAAATAACAAACCACTCTAGTACCTTCGCCAAGAAAACCCCAAAAGAGGTCATGAAGAATCAGATACAACTGAAAAACAACTTAACGACAAGCAAAGGGAGCCATGATACAAAAAAGGTTAAGACCTCCTGTTCTAATGGGTGAAGCTGGCATTTAGTGCAAGGTCTAGCTGGGGGGGGGGGGGGGGGTGGTGGTGTATATGCAGCACAAGAAGAATAAGTAGCCATAAGGGTGGGTTGGGGACACTGCCAGAGCTTCTGGAGCTCCCTGGTAGCGTCTGCACTCAAAAAAGGGTCAACCATGAAGTGATGTGTATGTGTATACAGCACGGCCACTTCCTGGTCCTCAGGAATCAATTAAAGTGTTCCTATATCCCCTGGGCAACAACAGTCCCCCAGGTATATATAGACTGAGAACAGCGACAGGGTTACTGGTCAGTTTTGTCCTGGGATGTCCTGAGGGGAGCTTCCACACTGGAGCTGGAAGCACTCCTGGGGTGGGAAGACTGGGGGCTAGGAGCAGGGAAGGGTGAGGCTTGTGTGACCAGGATGGGAGGTGGTGTTCCCACAGTGTTTATCAACTGATGAAAGCTCTGGTGATGTGTTATTCTTTCTTTCTGTGAACATATGGAAAACTTGCTAAGAACAAAACAAAATAAAACTACTGGTTTTCAGTTGCCTGGCACTTTCTGAAGTATGGAGATTTACCTTGCTTTAAGAAAATTCTATTCATGAAAATCTAGATTTATAGAATTAATACATGCAAGAGGGTGATATCTCAAAAAAAGATTCAGGCAAATGAAATACACTGGTGAATTTGAGTAATTGTTTTTAAATGGTTAATTATAAGAGTACATGTGTATGAAAGAGAAGGAGATATGTGTAGGGGGGATTAATTGGGGGTAGTTATTGGGGCAGCCAGGTGGTACAGTGAACAGAGTGCTGGGCCTGGAGTCAGGAAGACCTGAGTTCAAATCTGGTCTCACACATTTGCTAGCTGTATGACTCTGAGTAAGTCACTTAAACTCTGTTTGCTTCAGTCTTCTCATTTATAAAATGGGGGTGATAATAACAGCCACTACATCCCTGCATTGTTATGAGGATCCAATGAGATAATGTTTGTAATGAGCTTAGCACAGTGCCTGGCATGTAGTAAGCATTATAAAAATGTTAGCTATTATTATTGTTGTTGATGTTATTATTATTATTTATTATTATTATTGTTTTATAACTTGCACTGGTATAAGGAAGACTTTTTTGGGGGGACAGACTTGTGATTTCATTGTTTAAAGGAAAACTCCCAATCAGGAAATTCACTCTCCAATGAAGATCAGCACTTGGTCTGAAACTTGGAAACTAGGCCCCATCCCCCATCCCATGCTGTAGTAGATGGTTCAAATCCTGTCTCCTTTACTAACTAGCTGTGTGACCCTGGGTAAGTCATTTCATCTCTTCATCTCAGTTTCCTCATCTGTAGAATGTACTGTATACCCACTAGGGCCTTTCCAGCTCTAAATCTATGACCCTATAAGCTTCTCTCACTGGCAATGATTGGAAGGAATAACTTTGTTTCATGGAATAAAATCTGTACATTTATTTTTTTTTTTAAAAAGGACAGGCAGTAATGAGAATAGTTTGTGGGTTCATCCTTTCTTCTTATTCCTCATCTATAATAAAGAGGATTACACAAATGCACTATATTTAAGAGATTTTCTAAGAGATGAAGGCTTTTGTTTTGGTGAATCAGATCAATGATTTCATTTACACAGGGGACTCCCAATAAACAAACTCCCTCCCAGAGTGGAGAACAGCATCTGCTCTATAATTTATGGATGGTCTTAGAGAGTTGCCTACGGCACTGAGAGGTTAAGCAACATGCCCATGTGACCTAACTCGGGTCTTCCTGACTCAGAGAGGTCACTTCTTTAAATCCAATATGCCCTGCCTGATGCCTCTCACAAAGGGGCTGAATAAAACATGTTCCCCTTGTTGAGGACTAGGTGAAGGGGATGATGGTCAAGTAGGTATATGTCCAGTAAATGATGACATCTCAAATCAGATCCCTGAATAATTACCTAAATTACTACCTAGAAGTAAAAATGAGGCAGCTAGGTGGTGCAATGGATAGAATGCTGGGCCTGAAGTCAGGAAGATTGATCTTTCTGAGTTCAAATCTGGCCTCAGATACTTACTAGTTGTGTGACCCTGGGTAAGTTACTTCACCCTATTTGCCTCATATTCCTCATCTGTAAAATATAGTGGAGAAGGAAATGGCAAACCACTCCAGTATCTTTGCCAACAAAACCCCAAATGGGGTCATGAAGAGACAGACATAACTGAAACAACTGAACAACAACAACAAAAGTAAAAATGGGCTGTTTCAGTTGGGTAGCGGATTCCATTTCACTGGAAGTCTTCAAGCAACGGCTGGAGGGGTCATCAGTCTAGTGTGCTACTGTATGGACGCGATGACTACTGAGGCCCTGCAAATCTAAGAGTCACACTACAACCCCCAAAGTAGTACCATATAACCTAGCAGTCAAGCTAACAAGGTTATCAGAACTCCAGGATAACGTCAATTCCTCTTTGAGCTTACATTTGCTTTTCCAGCGGGACGGTAGGATCGACTCTTTCTCCCAATATCCCACAGAACTCGGGGCTCCCATGTTTGATGGGCTTGAAGCCCCCACCTGGGGCTCGGAGCTGTCGACGCCTGTCTCTGGAAGGCGAGGGGGAAGACTGCCTTTTCTCATTCCCGTTAAACTGAGCTGTAAGAGATAAAGATGAAAGAGTTATCAGAGAGTGTAAGAATCAGTGATAACATTTTTTAAAAAGTCTGACTATCTGAAGACGGGTCCAATTTGTTACAAGGCTTCCTTCACATGATAAGGATACTATTTACCCCTTCCAAACTGGTATTTAATGCTTTAAGTGAAGAAAAATTTTCTCAGCAAGGTGTCCCACTGAGGTAATTTTTCCAGCAGTGAAAACTACAAAGCTAAAAATATATTTGGCTTTTTAGAACTTGATAATCCAGATGCCCTGAAATCACGCATGAAGCAACTATTGGTGTTGCTTGTTTAAAATATTTAATGTGAATGTAACTGGGATGAGAAGCTATCAAGATGACTCAGTTACTATTTCTTCCATACTTTGTTACGACTGGTGGGTATTCAGATCGGGTGGGTACATTTTGTCCTTTTTCACTCAGTTATAAAAAGATGAGATGTACTTTTTGCAGATAGGCATGGATGGGAGTTACACTTGAGATTCCAGAGTACTCATTTGCAGTCCGATATAAAAAACTTAATAATCCATGTGCTGGTAATCGTAAGTATGGAATGAGTCACATATTGAGATCTTATGCATGGCTCGGGATACAAGAATAATATAGTATTAAAGCCATACCAATGAGCCATCCATGTCACATCAGAATTGTTATGAATTTAGGAAAGAATGATATGAGGCTCTTTAGTAACATGACATCCAGACCACTGTTGACTGGTCATGGTCGGACACGACCGAAAAAGATTAAACGGACGTGGATTTTGATTTTTAAGTAAGATTATGGTTTGGGCATGTAAAAGTGAGAGTGATTCACTTCTAGCCAGCTGTGCAAAGAATACTTCTGTTCAGTGGAATAAAATCCTTTACTTTCATGCCTGACTGGGGTAAGGCTAATAGACATCTCACCCCTCTATTCTGAGACCTATGTTGTCCTACTTTGAAATTAGTCCTGATTCAAAAGTAAAGAATACTATGGGCAACTGTTAACATATTCCCCCGGAAAGAAACATCTTAAGAAAGCACATCAGGGCATGTCAGAACTCACATTACTATGACTTTAATGAGACATGGTGAGCTTGCAGCTTTCTAAATACATCCAACAGGCAGATCTTGGGATTGAAGATGACCAAATAAGGTGGTGAGAAATTGGAACCCCACGAAAGCTTCCCCAGCTGTGGGATAAAGAGATGACACCAGGGGCCTCTGCAGCATTATGACTGTCTGCGGAGGGCAGACGCTTGCCAGCATCGTAGCCCTAACCTTAAGGGCACAAATAGTCAGCGTGATACGCCCCCGCTGTTACCCTGGCAGAACGAGCTTAGTGAATTTGAGAACTCCGACTTTTGTAAACCTCCCTGCCTTCAATCGTCACTGTGAAACACTTCAGTAAACACTCCAGCGACTGTGCTAAGAAAAGAAAAAAAAAAGGAACAAAATAATATATAACTACCATTTTCTATAGTGCTCTAGGATTGGCAAAGTGCTTCACGTACGCTGTCACATTTGTATTTTGCAACAACACAGGATTATTATCCTCATTATACAAGTGAGGAAAATGAGGCTCAGAAAGGGTGATTTGCCTGTGGTTACACAGCTGGTGTCAAAGGCTTCCCTAAACACCAACTCTAACTAATTTACATATCATACAATTATACTCCATGGCCAGTGATTAAAAGATATGAGTTGGAGTTCACAGGCTTATATATATATATATATATATATATATATTTATTTATTTATTTATTTATTTTTGCTTTTTGGTGAGGCAATCGGGGTTAAGTGACTTGCCCAGGGTCACACAGCTAGTAAGCGTCAAGTGTCTGAGGCCAAATTTGAACTCAGGTCCTCCTGCTCCAAGGCCAGAGCTCTATGTACCATGCCACCTACCTGCCCCTCAGACTCATATATTTAGAGCTGAAGGGACCTTAAAGTTCTTCTAGTCTGATGCTCTCATTTTAGAGATGAGGAAATGGAGGCCCAGGGAGATGCAACGATTTGACTTAGGTAGCACAGGTAATGGGTACCTGGGGTGGAACTCACCCAGGTCTTCTCCAATCCAGCACTCTTTCCATGCTGTTATTGTGTGAGTGAAGATTGCAATGTTTTCCATTCCTTAAGTATTGCAATCAAAATGCAAACTTCTGTTGGGAACCAAAATATCTTCACGGCTCATTTTCTCTTTTGGTTAATATTTGTTTGTCAACTACATTTCTTCCTCAAAATATAGTTTAAAGAAATGAAAGAAAACATTTCCTTTCATAATTTCAGCCACACTACACAAATACTTTCTTCAAAAATACAACACCCTTAACAAGGAGCGATTCTGTGAATGGACCAGGGCTAAAGGGCAGTTGCACAGGCTTACAATACAATTTGCAATCAACTATTATTTTCAATGAGAATAAAACTGGGGTAGGGGAAGCAGCCACTCTAATATGGAAATCTTCTGTCTGTTGGGGATAGATGAATGCTAATATACTAGCTTTGTGCCTGGAGCCCCTGAACAATATACTTAATTAGATATTGAAAACCATTTAACTTAACCCAGCAAAAATTAGCCTTCTAACACATTTTCCTGGATGTAACCATCACAGTAATATTGTGATGGTAATGTTGTATTTAAAAGTCAGCACCCACATGAAATCCTTTGACAAAGAAGCGTAGAGTTTAAATTTGAAGGCTCCTGCAGATTAATGTCGCAGCCAGGATGACATAAACATCTGGCTTGGGGATCCTGGTTCATTAAAAAAAAAAGAAAAAGAAAAAGAATTTCAAGTGACTCTAGAATGAGAAAAGTGTGTGACAAATAATGTAGCTGCTGAAATGAGGCATTCAGTCAGTCAACAGTGGTTGGTGAAACAGACTGGGGTTCCATGGAGGATTATACTCTAATCACTGGGTGAGGTAGAGAGAGGGAAACAGGCAAATTTTTTCCTTCTAGGAAGAGTTGAGCAGCCCAAAGGGGGAGACTCAGAATAGTACAATGGAGAAAGCAATTAGTTCTATGGGCTTGGAAACCTGGCTACTTGGCTAAGTCCCTTACTGGTCACTGGCCCTCCTCATCTGAAAATGAGCGGGTGAGGAAGTTCAATGTTTAAACTCCGATCCCCCATGATTAGGGGACAAATAATACATTTTTGATTATAGTACAAACATACACTTTTGAAATCACAAATTTTAAAGACTCTGCAGTGCTCCTAACATGTCATATAATGTAAAGTTAATTTTTGTTCCTAAGGTGCCTTATGAACAAAGGAGACAGAAAATACATATAGGGATGGATACCATTCTATTGCTCTTTTTTTAAAGTGATCATTCATTTTATTTCTTCCTCTTATATAAGCCTATTCTTTTCTTTTCTTTTTTAACTATTGGGGAAAATACATCTCTGGAAACATACTCTAAATAACCATAATCTAGGGGCAACTAGGTGAAGTAACGGATAGAGTACTGGCCCTGGAGTCAGGAGGGTCTGAGTTCAAATATGACCTCAGATATTTACTAGCTGAGTGACCCTGGGCAAGTCACTTAACCCTGATTGCCTCTTTAAAAAAATGACTATAATCTCTGAGGATGTTTCTTTTAAAAATTATTACTGATATCTTTTATTTTAAAATCATCTACAACTCCCAAAAGACAGCTATGCTTGTTCACTGACCCAGATTCAGTTTCCTCATCTGTAAAATGGGGACATTTATTGTACCTGCCTCCTAGGGTTCTTATGAGGATCAGATAACATATGTAAAATGCTTTGCAAACCTTAAAGCACCATAAAATGCTAGAAATTATTATCACTGTTGTTGTTAACATATGTCCTCCCTTCAGAAAGCTATATAATAAATAAAAAAGAGAAAAAAACCAGTTCAGTAAAATTAACCAATACTGAAGATGTTTGACATTTATATGCAGTGTTCCATACCATAACTCCCCCCACACTTCTGCAGAGAAGGGGGGGGCAGTGCCTTCTCTCTTCTTTGGGGTCAAGTTTGGTTATTGCAATTTTGCAGGATTCCGTTTTGATTGTTTAGATGCTGTTATTTCTGCTTATATTGTTGGAGTCATTGTGTATTTGCCTTTCCTGGCTGTCTACTTGCTTTTGGATCGGTTCATGTACTTCTTCCCTTGGGTTTTTGTACTCATCTTATTAACTTTGTTTTAAACTGTGCGGTAACATTCTGTTGCATTCACGGACTCAAAGTATTCTTCAGTATGTGGGCATTGTTCACATTTCCACAAAAGGGCTCTATATTTGAATTAATCTCAACTTTTGGGAGGGGGGGCTAAATTTTCTCATCTATAAAAATAGGGATCTCAACTAGCTGACCTTTAAGGTACCTTCTAATTTTAAATCTCTAATGCCATGATTTACTTCCTTTGAGTCTCAATTTCCACATTAATAAAATGAGAAGAAATGACTGGTAAGGTTTCCTTCAGTTCCAAAATTGTGGGATTTGCTAATCCTCCAAAGACCTCTTGGAACACTGACTAAATAACAGAAATGAGATAATCCCTTAAAATGAGGATATCTGGTCACCCTCCCTGGGGATGTTTCCACATCTTATTTACTAAGAAGTCAGAAGTCTGGTGAAGGTTAAGTCTCAAGCAGAGACTAGGCCCTAGAGACTGTATAACATGGTTTCTGGTTTACTTGAAAAATCTGTAACAGGCAAAACTGCTAAATCATGCAGTAAAGAAACCAGCAATCTCAGAAAAGTTAACTGGAGTCCTCATAGCAGAGGTAGCTGGTGGTGCAGTGGACAGAGCATAGGGCCTGGAGTCAGGAAGACCTGAGTTCAAATGTGATCTCAGATACTAGCTGCAAGACCCTGGGCAAGTCGCTTAACTTCTGCTTGCCTCAGTTTCCTCAACTGACAAATGGTGAAAATAATAGCATCTACCTTCCAGGTAAATGAGATCATATTTGTAAAGTGATTATTTGTACAGTGTGTGGCACAGAGTAGGTGCTATGTAAATGCTTATT